ACCGTCTCTTTCCCTACCGCGATGCCTCTCTCCCCCCCCCCGCCACTCTTCCTAGTACCAGGTACTCCTCCGGTAGACCCCCTCCCCCCTCAGGGTCCTGCCCCCTCATGTGTGTCTCAGGTAGACCCTGCCGAGCTGGTCGAGGTAGCTGTCAACTCAGGTGCTGCTAGGGGTGCTGAGCCTCCGGGTGCGGGGACTGGGGGTGCTGAGACTGAGCGTGTGGAGTCTTGGGGTGCTGAGCCTGCGGGTGCGGAGCCTGGGGGTGCTGAGCCTGAGCGTGTGGAGCCTGGGGGTGCTGAGCCTGGGGGTGCTGCGTCTTGGGGTGCTGAGCCTGCGTGTGCTGAGTCTGGAGGTTCTCCGGGTGTCCCGTTGCGGCGGGAGCCCCTCTCTCCGCAGCGGCTTCGTGAGTGGTACGCTCAACGCTGTCGCCGTGCTACTAGTGCTGCTGGTGCTGGAGCTGCTGGAGGTGCTACTGGTGCTGGAGCTGCTGGAGCCGCTGGTCCTGGAGGCGCTCGTACTGGAGGTACTGGAGCTGCTGGGGCTGGTGGTGCTGCAGGCGTTGGTGCTGCAGGTACTGGTGCTTCTGGAGCTGGAGCTGCTGGAGGTGCTGCTACAACTGGAGGTGCTGGAGGTGCTGCTCGTGCTGGAGCTGCTGGAGCCGCTGGTCCTGGAGGTGCTCGTACTGGAGGTACTGGAGCAGCTGGGGCTGGTGGTGCTGCAAGCGTTGGCGCTGCGGGTACTGGTGCTTCTGGTGCTGTAGCTGCTGGAGCCGCTGGTCCTGGAGGTGCTCGTACTGGAGGTACTGGAGCTGCGGGAGCTGTTACTCGAGTCCCTGGAGCTGAGGGTACTGGTGTTGTCTCTGCTGTTTCTGGAGGCACTGCGCGGCCGCGGCCGTACTTCGTTCCGCTCCTTCAGCAGGTTCTTGGTCCTACTCCTCCCTTACTGAGTCCACCGCCTGTCCGGTCACAGTCTCAGTTCCAGCCGGCCTCTCCACTACCTGGTCCTTCTCCTTACTCTGGACCGACTAGAGGTCTTACGGAGCGTCGTGAGCCTGAGTCGCGTCCTGCCTCCCCTGAGTCTCATTCTGAGTCGCCTGTCCGCACTATTCGCACTGGTCGTCGTGTTTCGTGCCCGCGTCCTCCTCCTGTCCCTGGCACTCACTCTATGACTCTGCGTCCTTCCACTGCTCCACAGCGTGTCCCTCTGCCGTCTCCTCCTGCGTCCTCTCTTCCTGCCGGTCCGGACCCGGAGTCTGACTCCCTTCGTGCTGCTAGTCCTACTGTCTCGCGCTTTCTGGCCACTGCTGTCACTGACCCTTTGTTTGAGTCCACTGCTGCGTCTGCTCTCGTTGCCGAGCTTGTTGACTTTGCTGCAGCCTGTCGCCTAGACTTTGCCACAACTCTTATTGCTGAGTCTGCGTCTGCGTCTGTCTGTCCTCCGTCCATCGTGGGTGAGTGTGCTCTTGGCACGGACGTTCTTGAGGACAGACAGGAGGAGTTTGAGTGATTTGCCGCTGCTGTACCTCCTCTCGTGTCCATGCTGCTTGCCCCTGAGGGAGACCTGGATGCACCAGACATCCCGACCCCGCGCTCTTACGCAGAGGCGATAGAGGGTCCCTAGTCCTCTCAGTGGCAGGCAGCCATGGACGCCGAGATGGCTTCCTGGAAGTCCACAGGCACCTACGTCACGTGGCTTCAGTCAGCGACAGGGAGTTGACTTCTTTCAGACCTTCTCCCCTACCCCGAAGATGACCACTCTTCGGGTACTGCTGCACGTTGCCACCCAGCGTGACTACGAGCTCCACTCGCTTGACTTCAGCACAGCCTTCCTACACGGCAGCCTGCACGAGGAGATCTGGCTGCGCCGCCCACCACGCTTCACTGGGTCGTTTCCTGCTGGTACCCAGTGGAGCCTCCGGCGGCCAGTCTACGGTCTCTGCCAGGCACCCCGTGAGTGGCACGACACACTGAGGACGACTCTTGCTGCTCTTGGTTTTGCTCCTTCCACTGCTGACCCTTCTCTGTTTTTACGCACTGACACCACTCTGCCGACGTTCTACGTTCTCGTGTACGTAGACGACCTCGTCTTTGCTACTGGTGACACTGAGGCACTCGCCCACGTGAAGTCCGAGCTGCAGAAGAGACACACGTGCACAGACCTGGGTGAGCTGACAAGCTATCTTGGCTTGCGGATCACCCGGGACAGAGCACAGCGCACCATTACCTTGACTCTGTCACACATGGTGCAGCATGTCTTTCAGCGCTTCGGCTTCACGTACTCCTCGCCACAGTCCACTCCTCTGCCTACTGGTCACTCACTCTCAGCTCCACCTTCGGACGAGTCCGTAGAGCTGAGTGGCCCGTATCCAGAGCTTGTGGGCTGCCTCATGTACCTGATGACTTGCACACGACCTGACCTCGCATACCCTCTCTGCCTTCTGGCTCGCTACGTGGCTCCCGGTAGGCACCGAAAGGTGCTCTGGGATGCTGCAAAGAGGGTGTTGCGCTACTTGTGCAGTACGTCGGGCATGGGGCTAGTGCTTGGAGGACGGGCTCGAGTTGTCCTCACTGGTCACGCAGACGCCTCCTGGGTTGACGACTTGGCTACGCAGCGGTCGTCACAAGGTTACACCTTCAGTTTTGGTTCCGGCTCTGTCTCTTGGCGATCTACCCGCTCGTCTTCTGTTCTCAGCTCTGGTTGTGAGGCTGAGATCTACGCTGGGGCCATGGCTGCACAGGAGCTACGCTGGCTTACCTACCTGCTGACCGACTTGGGAGAGGCGCCTCGTTCTCCTCCAGTTCTGTACGTCGACAACAAGGCCATGCTTGCCTTGTGTCAGGAGCACAGACTGGAGCACAGAACGAAGCACATTGCTCTGCGCTACTTCCTTGCTCGAGAGTTGCAGCAGCGGGGTCAGCTTCGTCTTGCTTACGTGGCCACTCAAGCCAACACTGCTGATGTTTTCACCAAGGCACTTCCGCCTTGTGATCATCAGCGTTTCTGTACTGTTCTTGGCCTTGTACCTACTGTGCTTCACTTGCTTACGTCTTGACTCTGCTTGTACTGTACTCTATATTCTTATACATGCATGCTTACACTTGCTAGGTTGTGTTCACTGTATTGTTTATTCTCCTTTATATAACTCTGCATGTAAACTGGCCTTGTGGCCATTTGCTTGTGCTCAGACTGCGTGGTGACTTTGTGATCCACCCTGAGCTTGCTTTGCCTTTCTTGACTGGTCTTGTGACCCTTGTTCTCCCCCACTTTGCCTATGGGGGTGTGTCAAACATATCTGCTATAGTCTATCTAGGCTGTAGTGGGGTAGTCAATACAGGGTACAACACTTTTAGGTTTTCATACTTGTACCGACCTGCTGCCTAGTTCATTCATTCCTTCTGTTCATTCTGACATGAACTGCCGGTGGTGCCCTTGCAATCATGCTCTCTAGGTGCTCATGTTGAGCCAAGATTGCTTCTTCAAACGCCTCGTATCCAGCATCGACTTCATCATCGAACCGCGCCATGCCGTCAATCCAAACGTTGCCACTTGCTGTGCGAATTCGCTAACGTGCCTGTTCAATGTGAATGATGGTAGAGTTCTGACCAGATTTCGGCAGCATGCCCCCTAGAGTAGCTTTGATACCATGCTAGAAAGGCATAGTGCCGTCGTAGAAAAAGCCTTGATTGTATAACAGAACAGAACTGAAAGCTTTGCAATGGAATGGATTGATTAAGAAATGACAGAGCAGGGTATTTATCCAAGCAGCTAACCCCCTCAGGATGGCTTCATCCACACCAATAATTCTACCCGCCAGTAATTCTTACCCTTCAATTAATTCTAGACTCCAATACCGGTAATTCTGGTCGTCCAATAATTGTACAATTATTGGAGGGCTGGTAGTCTTATAAAGGAACACTACAGTAAAATCTAATAGCATTTGTATTATCTTATGTTTGTACATTTAACAGCAACTTCCTCACCACCACGGAAGTAATCAACCCCACTTAAAAGCATGCATGCCAAGGTTAAGCTTCTCTATTGCTAGTTGTGAGATGCTCGTAAAGTATTTGACTCAAAGATATGTTGGAAACATTTAGTTTACGCTTCTGAAGTATAGAGGACTATAATAAAAGAGAAGCATACTCACAGCGAAGCAACACCGAGTCAACCAAAGCGGTTGACAAGGCGACAACAGCAGGAGGTTGAAGCGAAGGTCAAACGTCAGCAACCTTTGACTTGACAAAGACAGCGCGACAGCAATGACAAATAACTGACTCGCTATTGAGCAGTTACCCGAGTTGTCGCTGTATCGAACCGCAACAGTAGTTACAGTTAAACCTTTCTTAATCCTTGTAATCATATAAAACATTGTATCTCTTTGCTATAATCAACACATCTTGTTCTCACATACTAGTGCAAGGTGGTTCAATTAATCCATTATTACGCTTCCGCTAAATACATCACCACTCTGAGATTTTAGTCTTGAAACGATCCTAAGGACTTGATCAGCCCAACAAGATGCATGTGTGAAGATATCATACATCATTGTTTTGGATGGGACAAAGGCATGTATCCTTGTAAAAAAAAGATTAGTCTAATTAATTAGGAATGATGACAATAGCTTATGACTCCTGGTTGTCACCTCACTCCCATTAAAAAACAGTGTCAACGAGTTGCTCTTTCAGCCTGGTTATTTTGCCTTGTGAACCGTCTTGCGGGACCAATCACAGGGCGCCGTTGTGCGCTGCAGCATTTGATCCAAACCGCCACTTAGCGCCTCGCCATTTCAACCGCCATCTCAAGAGTAAATCCGCGCCATTGGTTAGTCGACAATGGCGGGGCGGTCGTCGCGATCCTCCGCCTTCCCCTCCTCCGCCTCCACCTCTTCCGCCTCCCCCGCCTTTCCCCCCTCCGCCTCCGCCTCCGATCTCCCCCATCCCGACTCCGCCCGCGCCACTGCGCGCGACGACCCGCTCTTCTCCGCGGTTCCGCCGTGCCCCATGCTTTACGCCGTGCTTCCCCCCGCCTCCGACCCGCTTCCTCCGCTGCCCTCTGCCCATGTGCGCGACTCTTCCCCCGCAAGCAGCGCGCGCAACGCGCACGGCGCAGCTGCGGTTGGCGGGGCGGCGCATGGGCGGAGGGGAGCGCACTCGCGGGCGAAATCGTGGGACATAGGGGCGGGCGCAGAAGGCGGGGTTGAGGGGGGAAGAGCGGCGGACGCGGGGGGAGGAGCTGCGCTTCCGCGGTTAGTGCCCGCCATGATGACGTCACTGTCGCTCACTGTGGAGTGTCTGATGACGACAGCAAGTGTCAGCATACAGGGCACGTGGGAAGTGGGGGAGTATGCGCGGGGGCGCGGGCAAGGGGGAGGAGGGGAAGGCGGAGGGGAAGGCAGAGGGGAAGGGGGAAGAGATGGCGGGGGGGATGGTGGGGGTGAAGGGGAGGAGCAACAGCAGTGCTGCGACTGCCTTTTTGTGCTGCCCACGTCTCACAGGGTAGGGGCGAGGCGAGAGTGTGTTGTTAAGCATATGAGAGGGTAGCGCGTGACGAGAGGGTGTGTTGGTGAGCACGCATCGCTCCACCCATTGAACACTCAGCAGTACGGACCACCTATCTTCACCGCACTACCTCCCTTGCGCATTCTCTCTCTCCTCCCCGTCATTGCCTTCACTTCATCCCTTCAACACACCGCCATCCCCTTCCGTCCCCATCCCTCCATTCCTACGCAACTCCTTTTCCCCCTTGCCTTGGCGTTTTTTTAAGCCTATCCTTCATGCCTTCCGCCTCTGCCCTTACCAGCCCGTGCCCCCATGTCCACTCACCCGTTTCCCCACGCCCATTCCCCCAGTGCTCCCATGCCCATCCTTCCCCCTTTTGGCCCCAACCAACCCGCATTCCCCTTGAACTCCCCAGGGCTCTGTGGCTGCAGTCGAGGTAACCTTAGCCGATGGAAGGTTCCTCGCAACTGCAGTGCTCCCAGTGGACGAGGCAGAGGCAGCGTGCAGGGCGAGCCAAGAGCGGGCGGCAGCCGCCCACTCCGCCGCCCAGCCCGTGCCGCCCAGGCCCGCCCGGCCCTCGTTCCTGCGCCTTTCGTCTGCTAGCTTTAGCAGGAGCGGCAGCAGCAGGCATCGGTGGAAAAGCCAAGAGGGAGTGGGGGAAGCAGACGGGAGGGCTGAAGCGAGAACGGAGGGCGAGTGGGGAGAGAGAAGTGGGAAGGACGGCGGTGTGAGTGGGGGTATGGAGAGAGGGGAGGGTGGGGACGAACGTGGTGAAGGTGGTGGTGAGCGTGAGAGGAGAAGGGGAGGGGATGATGACGATGAGGAGGGTGGGGAGGAGGTGGAGGGGAGTGGAGGGCAGCGGCAGCGGTGTGTGGCGAGGCGGCATGCAGGCGTGCTGCTGGATGAGAGCCCCGTGCACACACCGCACATGCTACGACTCAGAATACCCAAGGTGTGTTGGTGTTGCTTCTGAGAATTCTCAAATGCAGCCGTGCTGCTGGATGGGAGCCCCGTGCACACACCGCACATGCTCAGGCTCAGAATACCCAAGGTGCACTCCAGATTCCATGCGTGCATATCTCTCAGCCCCGTTCATTCGTGCCCTTCAGATCACTTCCTCCACACCTGCCACCCTTTCTCTACCTCCGTTACCCTCTCCCGTTCCCCCTTTCCCATGCCTCCCATGCTGTTCTCCATTGCCGCCCCTCCTCCGCCTCTGTTACCCGCCTTCTCTTCCTCGCCACTCCTCCTTTCACATGCCTCCTGTGATTTTCTTCCCTAAACCTCCTCTGTCTCACCCTCCTCCCCCCACACAGGTACCCCAGGGCAGCAGTGTGCGAGTGCGGGCGACCTACGTGGAGGCAATGGCAGGGCGGCAGGGGTACAGCGAGATGAGTGTGCCGCTGACAGTGCCCTTGGAGTGCGTGCCTGGCGACCTGGTGGTGCAGGACGTGGTGCGAGTGAGCTGCACCATCAATAGTGGTCTGCAGTGCCCCATGAAGATTGGTGACTTTAACCACCCCATGAAGGTGAGTGGGGCACGGCATGGGGTGTGAGGGCAATCATTCATGGCCAGTGCTTACCAGACGACCTGGCAGTGCAGGACGTGGTGCGCGTGAGCTGCACCATCAATAGTGGTCTGCAGTGCTCCATGAAGATAGGGGACTTCAACCACCCCATGAAGGTGAGTGATGCGCGGGTGTGAGTGAGGCGCGGGTGTGAGTGAGGCGCGGGTGTGAGTGAGGCGCGGGTGTGAGTGATGCGCGGGTGTGAGTGAGGCGCGGGTGTGAGTGAGGCGCGGGTGTGAGTGAGGCGCGGGTGTGAGTGAGGCGCGGGTGTGAGTGAGGCGCGGGTGTGAGTGAGGCGCGGGTGTGAGTGAGGCGCGGGTGTGAGTGAGGCGCGGGTGTGAGTGAGGCGCGGGTGTGAGTGAGGCGCGGGTGTGAGTGAGGCGCGGGTGTGAGTGAGGCGCGGGTGTGAGTGAGGGTTACTGATGGCTAGTGCGTGCCGGGCGGCATGGCAGTGCAGGACATGGTGCAAGTGAGCTCATTGCAGTGCCCCATGAAGATTGGTGACTTCATTCATTCCTTGAAGGCGAGTGGGGCGTGGATATGATACAAGGAATATGACCAGTACTAATAACGTAAATGTTGAATGATTATGAGTGCTTTATAACTATATCGCGGTTTAGTGTAGTTGTACATTTTGTGGGTTGGTGTAGCACCAATATCCCAACCTTTCCCAAATGCGGTCAACCAAAGTCTGCATCGCACCAATTGGAGATTTCAGCCGATCTTTTTGAGATTGCCTTTGATTCCCCTCCCATAATCTTCATCTTATTGTGATGAACTTCAGAGCCTTTAGCTCCATCTCCCATTGAATTGATTCTACCTCAGTTTCTCTCACAGACCCCATCATCCTGCTCCTGTCCCCTCATCTCTCACCCTACACACGTGCATGCTGCAGGTGGTGTTTGTGGACTTGGGGCGAGCCACGTTTGTGGGCCATCAAAGCGACGACGACCCCGACGCCTGGCCCAATGCCGACTTCACCATCTCCTTCCAGGTGGGTTCTGGGCATCACAATGTCGCCTCGTGTCAGTTTTTCTTTTAGGTGCCTCAAAAATAGACACCCAAAAGATGACGACCCCGAGGCATGGCCCAATGCCGACTTCACCATCTCCTTTCAGGTGGGTGCATCAACCTGGGCTCAGCATTCATGGCTCCAGTCTAACTAAGCTTGTTATTTTTGCTGTCAGAATTCGCTGTATCTACATGAGTGACGCGATGTATTGTGATGGTGTTGAGGAGACCAAAAATATGTTGCTATGCATTGTGGTGTGATGATATGACGATGGGGTGATGGCATGGTGGCATGCTGTCACTATGGCATGGTTAATTGCTTGCTCGCATGATGACGTCAGCATTGCCATTGCATGGTGGCATGACGGCTTGGTTGCTTGGTGGCATCTTGTCATGATTATGTTTCACGTGATGGCGCGGTCGCATTGCATGATGCCATGATGACACAATGGCGTCATGGCATAGTGTCTTGGCATGCCGTGATGGCATGGCATGATGGCATGGTATGATGGCATGGTATGATGGCATGGTATGATGGCATGGTATGATGGCATGGCATGATGGCATGGTATGATGGCATGGTATGATGGCATGGCATGATGGCATGGTATGACACTGTGCATGCCAGCAGGTGGTGACAGAGGACGTGAGTGCAGCAGTGCTCGTGCAAGCGCCTCTCATTGGAGACCCCGATCCCCGTGCCTCCTTTGCCCTTTCAATAGCTCCTCCCGATCCCGCCCAATTCTCGGTATGCTGCCTTCAAAGTGCGCCAGCTTATCAGGGTGCCACATGCTTGTCCCAACTTGAATCTCCTCTGCGTCTGCCCTTTGTAACCTCCCCTTTCTCTCCACCTTTCCATGTCCTACCAAACTGGTAGCGTCAACCCCGTTTCCACCCCAAAGTACGCCTTTGCTTGCCTCCATGCGCCTGTGTCGCCACTCTCCAACACAACTCTCTTCCTCTCCACCTCGTCCCTCCCATCGCCCCTCACACCCCCCATCAGTTGTTTAGCCGGGCATTCACAGGGCTGCGAGGCCATATCACCTCTTTCCAGCGCAACCCTTCCTTTACCAATCATCCCCCCCTCCACCCCCCTCCACCCCCCTCCACCCCTCGACAGGTGTTCAGCCGGGCAGTCGTCTTCATCCTTGACAGCGAGTGCGGTCTAAGAGCCCGCCCCATGGAGGACGCACGCAGGGCGGTGGCAGCGGCACTGAGGCGCTTAAAGCCCCACGACTCGTTCGCAGTGGTGGCGTTTGACTTTGAGCTGCTGCTGCTAGACGACGAGCTCGAGGCCGCTTCACCTGAGGCGGTGCGGCGCGCATGCAAGTTTGTGCTGCAGGCACATGACTGGCCGCAGCCCACCAATGTGCTCACACCGCTGCAGCTGGTGGGTGGGTGGAGAGCGGTGCGAGTGTGTTGGTAGGGGTGAAATGGGGCGAGGATGAGCAGAAGCTACTTGTAACTCTCATGAATCGCCCTGCATAGCGTCCCCTCATAGCATCACCACCCATTCCAGCATGCATTCAGAATGATGAAGGGCCCCCCAGCTGACTGGTAGGACAGCCATCATCCGCCACCTCATCCCCCACCCCATCTGCATGTGCACCGCCAGATGTTCAGGATGTTGAGGGGCCATGCCACACCACACAGCAGCGCTGCAGCAGGTGGTGCTCATCACAGTCTGCTCCCAGTTGCCTCCTACTCTCCACCCTGCACGTGCACCCCATGCCATACCACACCACACCCCATTCCACCACATACCTCCACACATCACCAGGCGTTCAGGATGCTGAGGGGCCACACAGCAGCGCTGCAGCAGATAGTCCTCATAACGGATGGCCCTGTGCGGGCGGAGCGCCGCGTGTGTCACTGGGTGCAGCGCGCCCTGGCTGACTGGGGGGGCACCGTCCCTCGCATCTTCACCTTCGGCATCGGTATGTGTGTTCTATCGGTATGAGTATTGAATTGGCTATATGAGCATAAATCGATTTTTGAGTCGACTCAAAAGTCACCTTGACTGGGAGGGCACTGAACTTCGCAACGTCACCTTGGGCATCGGTATGGGTATTAAATCGGTTCTACTCATACTTAGTGTACGTAGCGCAGTAAGAGGCTAAGGAGCGAGATGCTTCGATTCAGTCACCAGCTAAGGCAGGGATGGGGGATGTAATACAGTGCTGATGGTGACGGGAGAGTCACCTATTGAGCCAGACTGTCCACACACGTGGACGAGTGGAGCTTGTCTGAAGCTGGCTCACCTGCCTGCTCTGTTCGCTCGCATGCCCTTACTTGCGCTCCATCCATCCCATTCCCCCAGTCCCACTGCCCCCCTTTTCCCTCCATCTTACACTCATCCCACTCCCATCATCCTATTCCCCCCACCCAATCCCCCCCGGTTCCATGCCCCCATCATCAGGCCCATCGGTGAATCCGTTCTTTCTCAAGTGGCTGGCTGCTGCCACCCGCGGCTCCTCACAGGTCACCCGCAATCCAGGTGCCGCCGGGTTCTCGCATTCTTATCTTCTCAACTTCTGTCATACGTACTCACCTTCGCAACTTGTCTCGTTCGTCTGGCTGCAGCAGGGCAGCCAGTGCCGTAAGTTGTAACCTTTTTGCCACGCTGCCACCTTTGTCCACCCGTCTGTACCGCGCTGCTCCTCATCCTTTCCTCCCAACAACCTCACTATGCGTGTGCTTCCCCTTTACCCATCTCCAATCCCACCATTCCCATCCTCACCCCCCCACCCCCAATCCCCACTCGCCATCCTCCACCCCAACCCCCTTCTCCCTCCAGCGGTGGTGCGCAGGCGGCTGGATGGAATGCTGCAGGCCATGGCTCGCCCGCTCGTCACCAACATTGCCATCCGCGACCTGCCGCCTGCCTGTGAGGTGAGGTGAGGGGCGTGGTGGGGCCAAGGTAGGTAGCATGCCAGAGAAGACTTGTGGCCGCCCCATATTGCGTGTCACACCCAATTCAACCCACGTAGTTCTATTCTAGTAGTTTGGGTGAAGCCTCGTGGGCTGATCTGGTCGTTACACGGGATATCCCAACCGCGCCTAAACTTTCCACCCCACCAGTTGAACATTCCAGCCAACATCATTGGAGACTGCCCTTAAATTCCCTTCCCATCCACTCCCACCCGTCCCCGATTTACTTGATAGCCTTGAGTTCTGTGTCTTAACCAATCCCGTCAGCGCATATTCTGACAGCCATTGGCTGCTCTCGCGAGATCCCCAGCCTACTCATCCCCGCCTGACCCGGCTGTGCTGCCCACCACACACAATTCGTGCCAGCTCTACCCCTACTCGATTCCGGGCCTCTATGCACCCGGGCCAGTCGTGGTGAGCGACCAAGGGGCCGACAAATGGGCTCATCCCACACCTTCTATCTCATTCCCGTTATTCCCACAAAGTTTCCCTTCCCTGTGACTCCCACCTCGCCCATCCCCTGTGCACCCCACCAGCTGTGCCTCTACCCCATTCCGGACCTCTATGAATCGGGGCCAGTCGTGGGTGAGCGGCCGAATGGACGGCGAGGGCCCTCCTCCCTAACCTTCCACTTCATCCCTACATGATCCTTACAAAGCCCCCCTGTGGCCCCTGCCCACCCCCACCAGCTCTACCCCTACCCCATCCCAGACCTCTATGCATCGGGGCCATTCGTGGTGAGCGGCCGAATGGGCGACGAGGGGCCAGCAGCAGGCAGAGCGGAGGGCGGAGGGGGGCTGCCACTGCACGTGGAGCTGAGGGGCGTGCTGGCCAGTGGGGCTCCGTGGAAGTTCAGAGCTGCCCTCTCTGACGCCGGCAACCTGCCCCTCTCCTCTGTATGCTCTCGCCCTCTCGGGCCCTCTCCTCCGTATCACCATACCCTCTCCTATCTCTGCCCTCGCCCTCTCCTCCTGGTGCTCCGTTTTCCATCCAGTTAACGAACCTTCACTCACTCATCTATGTCCCTCCCACTGCCTTTTTCTCCGCCTCCGCACCATTCTCGCCCCCCCTCGCCCTTCTGCACCCCTCTGCACCCTCCTGCACCACTGTCACGGCGACCACATGGCATCAGGTGGGGGCGGGCGAGCAGGTGGCCATCCTCACTGCTGATTCATGGCTGCACGGCGACCCACAGCTGCAGCAGGCAGTATGTGACATGCTTGTGCTGTGTGGTTCTGTGTGCTGCTGGTGCTGTGTGGTGCTGTGTGGTGCTGTGTGGTGCTGTGTGGTGCTGTGTGGTGCTGTGTGGTGCTGTGTGGTGCTGTGTGGTGCTGTATGCAGTATGGTGCTGTGTGACATGGCTTGGTGCTGTGTGCATTGTCCGTGTGCAAAGCAGAGAAGGCCAGGGACCATGGCGCAAGGACTTGGGAAGTGTCCCTTTTTGCCAGCAGTTCTCTGCTTTAATGCAGCACTCATTGCGACTCTCTCATCCCTGTTCGTCAACCTCAGTGATTTCCCTCATTGTATACCCATGCCCATGCCCATGCCCATGCCCATGCCCATGCCCATGCCCATGCCCATGCCCATGCCCATGCCCATGCCCATGCCCATGCCAATGCCCATGCCCATGCCCATGCCCATTGCCATGCCCATGCCCATGCCCACGCCCACGCCCATGCCCATGCCCATGCCCATGCCCATGCCCATGCCCATGCCCACTATGCCCATGCACATGCCCATGCCTCCCTTGTTCCCCCTGCATGCCATGCCACGCCCACAGGCATGTGCCATGAGTGTGGGAGCGTCAGTGGTATCAGAGCACACACGCATGCTGCTGCTGGACACCACCCGCCCTCTGTTGGACCAGCTGCACACCGATCAGCTGCAGGTGCGGTGATGATGGGTGCTGAGGGGTGGGTGTGTGCTCCAAGGGGTTCATGGGTGCTGAATGGTGTGTGCTGCTGGGTACTGGTGGGTAGTGTTGATTGGAGGCTGACTGTTATGGGAGGGGGAGGGTGTGTTGGATGATGCATGGGCAGGCATGACGTGTGCAGGTGGTGCAGGCATGATGTGTGCAGGTGGTGCAAGCAGCATGGTCGGAACACCCCTAAAAGCATGCGTGCAATAGCATGCCAGGTAAGGGGAGGTTTTGGTGCAGTGTGCATGGCAGGCCATGTAAGGGCAGCACAGTGAAGCAGCTGTGCTGGTCAAGCAGCCAAGGGGCACTCTTACCCCACCAACAGCCACTCTCAATTCAGCACGGTTCATCCTCATCCGCCCCTCAAACATATTCTGCTGCCCATGCCCCATTGCCCCTCTCCCGATCTCAAACAGGGTCACGTGAAGCCTCTACACCACTACGTCCGGTTGCCCACTGCTTCTGTCACCATGGTTCCGGGCCTCACGGCTGGGTTCGGATGCACCCAGGCCCGCCCTGCTTCCATCAAACCAAATGGGGAGGCTCGGGGTCAACAGCGGCAGCACAGGCGCATGGGTTCGTGTGTGTCATCAGGCGAGTGGGAGTACGATGAGGACGAGCAGCAGGGCCATAACCGATTGCTCGTCTCGGCGTCGCTGTCACAAAGCATTCTAGGAAGTGTACTTGCGTGTTACCGCCCCAAATTCAAATAGTAGCCTACGCTGATGCACTTTCTAAACCCAGCTGATTCATTGACATCAGCAAGGTTGGTATCTAAAAAACAGAAGCCTTGTATAAAATTGATTGCTCAAGGCACCTTAGTGTATATATGTTGAGTGATGCTACCATTCGCATTCACGTCTGTCTGCCTCCCATCATATGTTCGTGCGTTGCATGCGTGTTGTGAGTGTGTGCAAGAAGTTGTGTTTTGTGCGGTTTGGTTTTTCTGAGTGTGTGTGTGAATGTTATTTGGCTTGAGCAGATATCTGAAGTGACTCCTCTGCTCAAGAGCTTTCCGAGGAACCAAGTATCGCTTCAATCGGAGCACGAACAAGAAAGTTACGAACGTTGGAGTTCGTATGCTTTTGATATTTGGTTGTGGTGACTATGGGAAGTTGTGGGGTTGACTCAATATGGGGTACAGACTTTTGGGGGTTGGGAAATTCGTCTTTTCTACTGTAGTTGCTGCCAAATGGTTGGGAGAAACCAAACCAGGTTGGCAAGTGTGGCCAAGTTGGGTTGAGGTGGATTGTGGAGGTTGGGATAGTGACAAAGGTCAAAGTTGGGTTGCCTATGGGGAAGGGAATTGTATGGCATGGGGTTTCCTTGGTTGGGGACTCTCTTGGGACCTTCCCTCTCGTCCTCCTCATCCCTTCCACCTGGTTTAGTGCTACTCCAATTCTCTTGTGTGAACTTGTGAGATCATTGTGATTGAGTTACGTTTTCTATGGCAGCATACCCCCTAGTGCGCCGAAGTTCATAACTCGAGTTATACTCCATATTTTGATACTGTTCAAATTGGGAAAGATAGCCACGGTCAAGGGCTACAACATACTCGAGTTTGAAAGAATTCTAACAGTGGACATTTCGTCGACGACGTTTCTTGTGACGACGACTTTTCTGTCCAGAATTGTAGTTGACGATTTTGAGATATTTCAGCCCCTAATCTTCATAGACTCCGTCCTTAATCTCTAACAAGTGGTATCAGAGCTGATTAAGGACTTTGTGGAGAGTCTACTGAAGTGTGAAGACCCTCCTAGACCCACCATGGCCTGTGGGCGTGCCTAAGTGGAGTTCTGGAGGTTGGATGTGACTTCCGCTAAGGGGAAACTCTGCCGAAATTTCGTTGGCGCCGACACTTGTGAAGATTGTGTGGATCTACATTGTGACCAGCAAAAGGGGGAGCTGAAACCTCTGATTGGGAGCAGAGGAGATGAATCAAGGGAGTGGAGATGTAGCTGAGAAGAGGAGTGAACCGCCACCATCCAAGATCGAAGCTTTGGATGGCTCCAACTATGAGGAATGGAGCGGGCGGATGCGGAGCGCCTTCAAGCGCTACAAGCTACTGAAAATTGCAATGGGAGAGGAGAAGATGCCGGGGGAAGGAGATGCCCGCGATCGGTGGATTGAGAAGAGCGCGGTGCTTTACGACCTCATCCTCCAATCGGTCAACAACGACATGTTCCAGCACATCAAGGATTTGGTGGAGTTGGATGATTCCGGACCGAAGGCATGGAAGCTGCTACGCGACGTGATTCAGCCCAACACGCTGCCGATGGTGATTGTGTTGGAGAAGGAGTTGGCTGCCCTCTCCATGAAACCGGGAGATGATGTGAAACCGGTCCTTGACAAGATCAAGGACACCTATGCGAGGATGGCAGCGGCGGGCAGCGAAGTGTCGCAGATGCAACAGTGCACCAAGATCATCTCGGTGCTCGACAACTCGTGGGACAACCTCATACCCACCCTCAACGTTCAGCAGGACAAATGGACGCCTGAGTGGCTACGGCAGCAGATTCTGCAGGAGGACTTCCGCAGACGCCACACGGGAGGTGGTGCTGCCAACAAAACTGCTGAGGGGTATGGAGCTGCAGGAGGCAGCAGAGGAAGAGGGGGAGGGAGAGGCCGAGGCCGTGGGAGAGGCTTTGGCAGAGGGAGAGGCCGAGGTGACTACAATGAGGGGCATGGGAGCTCTGGTGGCAGGGGGAGCACCCGAATGGAGGGTGCGTGCTGGTACTGCAAGAAGGCTGGACACCCGTGGTTCAAGTGTTTCAGCCGGCCTGAGGGATGGGCCCCTCCAGGCATGAAGCCGCCAAGTGGTGAACGTGCACGCGGTGGCGCTGTGCAAGGTTCAGGTGCACAAGGTGATGGTGCACAAGGTAAAGCCGACACTGGGATGTTCCTCATGGTTGAGGATGTGCAAGGGAGTGGGGGTGATGTGGGTTCAGTTGGGAAGGTTGTGATGCACCCCCTCACTCACTGGGTGATCGATTCAGGTTGCACGAGTCATATGACCCCACGGGCAGATTTGCTTGATGAGGTAAAACCTCCTGGGAAGATCAAGTTTGTGGCTGCCGCTTCAGGTGCTTTGCTCCCTGTGATTGGTGTTGGGAATGCCAAGGTGATGGGAGCCAATGGAGAGCTTGTGGGGCTTGGGAATGTGCTGTTGGTTGACGGTTTGTCCGCTAACCTTCTTTCTGTGCGCCGGCTGCAGAAGAGCAAGGCTGAAGTTACCTTCGGCCCAACCAGCTGCCGTGCAAAGCTTGGGAAGTTGCTGCTGTGGAACTTGGAGGAGAAGAGCAGCTGCATCAAGGACTTGTGGCAGCTGCCCATCATCCCTTGGAAGGGGAAACCACCAGCAACGGCAAAGGCAGCGGCAGCGGCTAAAGCAACTGCGGGAGGAGAGGAGACTGCACCAACTGCTGGGGCCCTGGATGCAGTCAAGAAGGTGCAGCAGCCACAACAGCCACATGGTGAGGTGCTTGCTGGTGTGGATGCGACAGCTGCATGGGCAAAGGCTTCACCTGGGAGTGGTGAGGCTGATTGGGAGACGTGGCATGAGAGGCTGTGCCATGTGAACATTCCTATGCTGCAGAAGTTGGTAAAGGATGGGTGCTTGAAGGGGCTGGAGGTGAAGGGGGCAGCAAAGGAGATTGGGAGCTGCCCTACATGCCTTGAAACGAAGTTCACGAAGTTTCCCTTCAGCAGCAGCACGGGACCAGCCAAGGCACCGCTCGCGCTTGTGCACATGGATGTGGTGGGCCCCACGAGGGCCCTTTCTCTCTCGGGCAGCCGCTACTTCTTGACCATTGTGGACGACCACACGCGTGCGGTGTGGGTCTACCCTCTGAAGACTAAGGGGGAGGTGGCAGCGGCTGTTCTCAAGGAGTGGATGCCGAGAGCTCAAAGGGAGAGCGGACATAAGGTGAAGGTGATCCGCACTGACAACGGGGGAGAATTCATTGGCGCTGATTTTGAGGCGGTGCTGAAGAAGAAGGGGATCCAGCATCAGCTCACGATGCCCTACAACCCTCAGCAGAACGGTGTGGCTGAGCGGTTCAACCGGACCCTGCAGGAAGGTGCTCGCACTCTCCTTGGGCGTGCAGGGCTGCCAGATCCGTTTTGGGTGACTGCACTGCGGCAGGTCGCCCTTGTGAAGAACAGGGTGCTGGCGACTGTGGGGGACAAGCAGTGGGTCCCCTACACCAAGTGGTATGGGATTGCACCAGCTGTGAACATGCTGAGAGCCTTTGGGTGCATGGTGGTGTTTCATGTGCCTAAGGAGAAGAGGGGAAAACTGGAAGCTTCTGGGAGATGGGGTGTGCACTTGGGGCTTGCTAAGGATCACAAGGGCTGGCTGATTTGGGACTTGACCAGCCAGCAGCTGACTGTGTCAAGGGATGTGAAGTTCCTTGAGTCCTTGTACTACAAGGAGTGGAAGCAGCAGCAGCAGAAGCTTCCTACTACACCGCTGATCATTGAGGCCGATGAGGTGCAGCGGCCTTCGAGGCAAGTGCAGGTCACTGTCTCAGAGGAGGAGATTTCTGGGGTGACTGAGGATGGGGGAGAACCTGAGGTGGAGGAGCAGCAGCAGCAGCAGCAGCAGCAGCAGCAAGATGCTCCACAAGGTGCCGCACGTCCGGTTGACCGTCCTAGGAGGGATGTGCGCCCTCCTAACCGGCTGACCTATCCAAGCTTTGGCAAGCCAAAGGTGGTACGGGCTGGGAGTGTGGCTGAGCAGTGTGATGAGGAAGAGATAGCACACTGCTACTGGGCAGCCGTCCCTGAGCCCAAGACGCTAGCTGAGGCCTTGAGTGGGCCCGATGCTGAAAAGTGGAAGCAGAGTGTGAAGGAGGAGTATGATTCTCTGCTGGAGAATGAGACGTGGGAGCTGTGTGAGCTGCCACCCGGGAAGAAGGCCATTTCTTCCAAGCTGATTTTCAGGCACAAGTACGGACCTGATGGGGCGCTGACCCGCTACAAGTCAAGGCTTGTGGCTAAGGGGTTTCAGCAGACAAAGGGAAAGGACTTCAACGAGCTCTATGCTCCTGTGGGGAAAGGCACAACACTTCGGGTGTCATTGGCAATGGCAGCAAACCGTGGATGGCGGGTGAAGCAGATGGACATCACCACCGCCTTCCTCAATGGGATCATTCTGGAGGAGCTGTACATGTTACAGCCTGAGGGTTTGGATGATGGGAGCGGCAGGGTGTGCAGGCTGAAGAAGGCCATCTATGGCCTGAAGCAGGCTCCTCGTGCATGGTACCACAAGTTAGAGGAGACTCTGCTGGCTGGGGGTTTCAAGAAGAGTGAGTGTGATCACAGCTTGTTCCTGCTGCAGGAGAAGGAGCAGTTTCTCATGCTCCTGGTGTATGTGGACGACATCCTGCTCTTCTCTGAGTCGTCTGCAATGATTGAGCATGTGGAGGAGATGCTGGAGATGCAGTTTAAGTGCTCCAAGATGGGAGATGTGAAGTACTATTTAGGGATGCATGTGGAGAGGGACCTTGACAAAGGAGTGTTGAGGTTGCACCAGAGAAAGTATTGTGAGGGGCTGGCTGAGAAGTACGGGCTGCAAGATGGAGGAAAGCCAGCCACCCCACTGCCTTCGGGGTTCACTGTGGAGCCCTGTGCTGATGAGGAGGTGGTGGGTGAGAGTGACAGGAAACTTTTTCATTCCATGGTTGGGGCACTCAACTATGCGGCTAACCACACACGGCCTGACATTGCCTTTGCAACATCCAGGCTTGCCAGTGTGGTTTCACGCCCCAGTCATGAGCAGCTGGAAGCGGCCAAGAGGTTGGTCCGCTATGTGAGTGCAACGGCATCAGTGGGTTTGGAGTACAGTGCTGTGAGGCAGAGGCTGCAGAGGAGTGCAGCTGATTTGAGCAAGGGGGAGATGCTCCTGACCTGCTACACTGACGCTAGCTTCAACTCGGTGAAAGCGGATGGCACCAGCATTGGAGGCTATGTGTGCCTGTTTGGAGGTGGTGCAGTGAGCTGGCGCAGTAAGAAGCAGAATGAGGTGGGGCAGTCCTCGTGTGAGACAGAGTACATGGCCCTGCATCATGGGGCAAAGGAGGTGGTGTGGCTGAGGCGTTTGTTGGAGGAGATTGGAGTTGGTCAGAGGGAGCCGACTGTGATTTTCTGTGATAATGAGTCGGCGGTGAAGCTAGCGAAGAATGCTTGTCTTCATGGGCTGACCAAACACATCAGGCCTAAGTGGCACTGGGTGAGAAGGCTCCTGGACAAGGAGGTGCGGCTGGAGATTGTGAAGACCCATCAGCAGGCGGCTGACATTCTCACCAAGCGCCTGGCTGAATCTGAGCATTGGAAGGGCATGAAGCTTGCTGGGATGAGTGTACATTGAGGGTGCATGCTTGAGCTATGGCATGTGGGATGATGGTTGGCAGCCAGAGGGGGAGTTTGTTGAGTGATGCTACCATTCGCATTCACGTCTGTCTGCCTCCCATCATATGTTCGTGCGTTGCATGCGTGTTGTGAGTGTGTGCAAGAAGTTGTGTTTTGTGCGGTTTGGTTTTTCTGAGTGTGTGTGTGAATGTTATTTGGCTTGAGCAGATATCTGAAGTGACTCCTCTGCTCAAGAGCTTTCCGAGGAACCAAGTATCGCTTCAATCGGAGCACGAACAAGAAAGTTACGAACGTTGGAGTTCGTATGCTTTTGATATTTGGTTGTGGTGACTATGGGAAGTTGTGGGGTTGACTCAATATGGGGTACAGACTTTTGGGGGTTGGGAAATTCGTCTTTTCTACTGTAGTTGCTGCCAAATGGTTGGGAGAAACCAAACCAGGTTGGCAAGTGTGGCCAAGTTGGGTTGAGGTGGATTGTGGAGGTTGGGATAGTGACAAAGGTCAAAGTTGGGTTGCCTATGGGGAAGGGAATTGTATGGCATGGGGTTTCCTTGGTTGGGGACTCTCTTGGGACCTTCCCTCTCGTCCTCCTCATCCCTTCCACCTGGTTTAGTGCTACTCCAATTCTCTTGTGTGAACTTGTGAGATCATTGTGATTGAGTTACGTTTTCTATGGCAGCATACCCCCTAGTGCGCCGAAGTTCATAACTCGAGTTATACTCCATATTTTGATACTGTTCAAATTGGGAAAGATAGCCACGGTCAAGGGCTACAACATACTCGAGTTTGAAAGAATTCTAACAGTGGACATTTCGTCGACGACGTTTCTTGTGACGACGACTTTTCTGTCCAGAATTGTAGTTGACGATTTTGAGATATTTCAGCCCCTAATCTTCATAGACTCCGTCCTTAATCTCTAACAATATACAACCACAAAAGCCACTAAGATCTTTCTTTGATGCCCAGTTGACCTCCAGTCATCCCTAGTTCAGAGGTTGAACCAGCAGCACAACTGATTGTCAATTGAGGACCGAGCCACGTTCAGGTAACGTTAAGGATTACACTTTGGTGTAAGTGGGAATCATAACTTTATCCACGCCATGTGCAATGAAGTACGGTCCAGCGTAGAGCCTCACGAGCTTGATCGTCGTCCACGCGGCAGGGGGAGCGTTGGGAGTCTTGGCGAAGGAAACGGTGTTACCATTCTGCACCGAAACCTTGTACATCGCCTGCTTCAGCTGCGTTCCCAGCGGCTGCGATTTCTTGAGCACCTTGAGCGCGGGAACGGTGTACTTCTTGCGGATGATGTGGTACGCGGTGATGTTGTAGATTTTAGGAACGTTGGCGTTGTTAGCGGGGACCTTCTTAGCGAGGGCCTGGGCCTCCGTGTCGCTAGGGAGCAGGAGGGTTGCGTCGCTGAGAGCCGTGAAATCGTACTTGGAGTTCACTGGTGATGGGGAGAGAGGAAGTGGGGGGACAGAGGGAGAGGGAGAGGGAAGACAGAAAAAAACGGTCAGCATATGAGCGCGACGAGCGAATAGAGGAGCGTGTTAGCCACTAGTAAGAGGGTATCCTGCCGCATTATTAACGACTACAAATGAGGGACTTTGTGCTGGCGTTTTGAACGAGAAGGAAGCGAGTTTACTAGCCGTGGTTTTGAACGAAAATAATGTAATTTCAAATTCCTTACATGCTAGGCCGATGTACTTGTTGATGTCCTTGGCGTATTTCGCGTATTGCGGGTACTTCTTGGTGATGGAGTTCGCCATGTTCTGCAGCTCTGCTTTGATTTGCGCCTTCGTGGGCTTCGCCTGTGCGTGCGCGGTGGCGAAGCATAGCACGATGCAAAGCAGGCCGAAGAGGGGAATGAACCGTGAACTGGCCATATTTCGCGAATATGTGGACGCTTGTCGCTAAGTGGTGTGGTCACGCAGCCGCGGAAAGCGAGACTGGAAGCGTCGGGTTGGACTGTCAAGAAGAGAATGAAGCTGGATTGGATGATAGCGAGGGGAGTGAAGTTGAGGAGGAAGCACGAATGAATTCTATGAAGGATTGGGGGCACGAATTGTCATTTATATTTTAGCTAGAGGCTGGAAGCGCGACAGCAATGGCCGACATGCGGTGCGGGAAGCGGTGAAGTGGTGAAGTGGTTTCATGACGAAATTGTCCGTAACCCGCAATTCGGTCGCAACTCCCGACATGAAACTGTCGCGAAGCCACAACACCTCGCCGGGCTGGGTTTGAGGTGGTGGTGGCAATTGGTCGGTTGAAGTTGCGGTCCGCGCGGGGCTGGGGCTCAGATTCAATGGCATTCCATCCCGATTCTCAAGTTCGCGTGCGCTTCTCGGTGTAGTTCTTTCTTGACGTGAGGTTATAACACACTTATGTCCACTTGAATAATGCAACCAACTTGATAGGGAGAATATGCCACAAGTAACCAACTTGGGACTCGATAACGTGAATGGTAAAAAAAAAAAACGCGTACGGTCACTGTATCGGGTTTTCTGACGGGTTTGGTAAGCGGGGTCACGGATTCAGTCACTAACAACAGGTAAAAAATCACGCGAATGGTCACACATGTAACTCCCGCCAAAAAAACTTGAAACTCAACAAAATTCCCGCTCGCGCCCAACCAATCTGCGAACTTGTAAAAAAACTAAAACCCAATTGGAATCGGAAGCGGTTTGGGAACGGATCAACCCTAAACACCTGGCGAGTTACGTGTTTAGGGTTGATCATCCGAAAATGCATCCAGGTTCTTTCTGGGTTTCATTTTGTTTTGGCGGGAGTTTCATCTGTGACCATTCGCGTTTTTTTTTACCAGCTGATTGTGACTGATTCCGTGAAACGCTTTATCAGTCGCGTGAAAACACCCTTTGCAGTGACCGTACCCTTTATTTTTTTACCAAACATGTTTTCGAGTCCCATGATGGTTACGAACGGCATATTTTCCCAACTTGATATCCTAAACACTTCATAGAATCAGTACAGCAAAGGTGTCTTCATGCCAAAAATACATGGTATTCAGCATCAAGACCCCCCAAGAGTGCGAACGGCATGAAATACTTACTACGCGTACCAAGAGAACACTGTAATCCCACGGATTTGATCTCAGGTGCACCATGGGTCCGCCAAGCCAATGTTTCAATGTAAACTATAAGCGCATGTGACAATAAAAAGGGGTGATTCTAGTGCAAGAAATCCTCTTCATCGAGCTGAAAAACATTACCGTACCACCCTCTGCCTCCCCCTCTGCCTCCCCCTCTGTATCTACAACTCATACCCCCTCCACACCATCCCCTCCTCCCCCGCCTGCCCCGGCCCCCTTTGCTAGTTTTGAGACGTCTCAACACTGGAGTATTACCATCCTCTGCCTCCTCTCCCTCCCCCTCTGCCCCCGTATCTGCCACTGCTACTCCTTCCAAACCCTCCGCCCCTCCTCCCCCGTCTGCCCTGCCCGCCCCTGCCCCCTTCGTAGCTCCCCTCGGGCTCTGCAGCTGGCTGGAAGCTGAACAGTGATTGGCGCAGCTGCTCCGATGCTGACGTGGCAGTGGGAGGCGTGTGGTGTGCGTGTGGAGGTGTGTGGGCTGCGTGTGCCTGGGGAGGGCGAGGAGGTGGGGGTTGACAGTGGGAGATGGAGGGGTAACAATGAGAGATAGTGGGGTGGCAGTGGGAGATGGAGGGATGACAGTGGGAGATGGAGGGGTGACAGTGGGAGATGGAGGGGTGACAGTGGGAGATGAAGGGGTGACAGCAGGAGATGGAGGGGTATGAGAGTGGGTAAACGAGCGAGTGGGTATGGAGCGGTCACAGGGTAAGGGACAAGGAAGAGCAGAGCTACGGGTGTGCAACTTACAAATCCCCCCATGTCCTCCATGTCCAACTCCGCCTGCAGCTTCCTCGCAAGTTCTTCATCTGACATCACTTGTGCTGCACTGCTTACATCTACCCTTCCTCCACTCCCTCCCATTCCTCCCATCCCTCCCGTTCCTCCCGTCACCCCCGCCACCCCTCTCCCCCCTCCTTGCCTCCCCATAGCCTTCCGCGCTTCATATTCCTCTAGTGTCATCGTCCCCTCCTCCTCCTCCTCCTCATCCCGGCCCCTCCCCCCCCTCCCCCTTCCCCCACGCCCCCCCCGCCTGCCCCTGCCTCGCCCCTGCTCCTCCCCCATCTTCTCCAGAAGCTTCCTGGAAGCGTTCCTATCGTGTGGGGCAACGTGCTTAAGAGCAGCAGCAGCCTCAACTCTCGCCCGCTCCACCGCCCTCTCCCTCGCCGCCTCTGCTGCTGCCCCCAATTCACCCGCCTCTGTCGACCCTCCACCCTCCTCTCTTGCTGTGCTACCTCCTCCTGTTGCTGCTGCCGCTGCTGCAGGGGCAGAGCCGGCAGCACTGGCATCACCACCACGCCCTCCTCCCAGACCCCCACCTACTGCTCCAGACACATGCGTGCTGGCAGGTGCGCTGGCAGGCATACTGGCAAGTGTGCTAGCAGTCGTGACAGCTGGCGTTGCTTGCAGGCGTGCGTCTGTGACCCCCCGGAAGGGAGGCGGGCCCGCAGAGGCACCGGGGAGAGAGGAGGCGAGGGCGGACAAAGAGGGGGTGCGGGAGGAGCGGGAGTGGGCGGAGGAGGCAGTGGGGGCGAGGGCGGGGAGGAGGGAGTAGCGGCGCTGCATGTCCCACTCGTCGTAGAGAGGGGAGACGCGGCCGCCCAGCACTTGCACGGTCTGCGGGTCGAGCAGGATGAAACCGTGGCGGATGATGGGGGCCGTGAGGAGCAGCTGGATGGGAGGGGGGGGAGGCAGGGAGGGGCGGAGGGAGGGAGGCACTGATAGTTTTTGAACGTCCCAACCCGCCCAGCACTTGCACGATCTGAGGGTGGAGCAGGATGAAGCCGTGGCGGATGGTGGGGGTTGTGAGAAGCAGCTGCGGGGAGGAGGGGAGACAGGGAGGCAGGGGGACAGGGGGGCAGGGAGGGAAAACGAGTGGCACGTGATCTTGGTAACATTCTTTTTTGGTGGAAAAGAGCACTGAATCTCGACTGTAGCTGCATTTGTAGGTGGAAAGCGCAGTTGCTGTTTCTGCATACACACTGCCTGCCACTAGCGCGAGGAATGAAGGCCAAGTCCTGCTTGAAAGGCGTTGCATGCATGGTGTCATGGTGACCTTACTAAGTACCTTGGTGCCCGGAGCTAGAGCCATCGGCACGTGAGGGCACGGGTGCATCTCCACAGCACTCGCATTCCTCTTGCCGTCCGTCACCCGAATGCGCAGCAGCCTTCGCCCCCCACTGCCACCCACAGCACCTCGCCCTCCCAGCCCATCCACACCAACAGAAGCAGTAGCAGGACAGGGAGCAGCGGGGGCGGGCGGATTGTTGTCGTCGTCCCAGCGGTCGTCCTCGTCAGCAGCAGCGGCGGCTGACTCAGCGTCCTCCCGCCTCTGGGCTCGCACACGTTCACGGCTGACACTACCTGGCGGGGAGAGAGGGGGGCGCGGGGAGTGCAGAGCAAGGTGACTCAGCGTCCTCCCCGCCCCTGGGCTCGCACACGTTCACGGCTGACACCACCTAGCGGGGCGCAAGGAGGGCGCGTGGAGCGAGAGGGCGCAGGGCAGCGAGGGGGGAGCAAGGGAGCAAGAGGAGCGCGGGAACGGAGGAAGCAAGGTGGGGCGGGGAGCAAGGTGGGGCGGGGAGCAAGGGGAGTACGAGGAGAGGGGTGCGGAAGGCAGGGGCTACGCATTCACCTGCACAACGAGCCTCCCCGACAGGCGGCGGTACTCGGCGTGATTCACGTCGTCCGGCAAGCACGCCTCGCCGAACCGCCGCAGGTCCAGGTCCAGAGCCGCCGCCCGCACCTGCTGCGCCGACATCGGCGCGCTCTGCACCGCGCCAAGTGGCTGCCCCGCCGAGGACGCGGAAGTGGCGGAGGCGGGGGAGGCTTGCGGATCCGGTGCGCCGCCGTTCGCGGAGGGGGGTTTCGCGGCGAGCAGCGCGAGAAGCGCGTGCGGGGAGACGTGCCAGCCTTCGCCCTCCAGGGATGCCAGCGCAGCGGGCGACACCAGCGGTGCCGCCATGCTGTCTGCCAGTGCGCGCGCAGCGCGTGACGATCGCCTGCTTGGCGCGGTCGAGCAGCGCGACGTCGAGGGTCGCGGTTCACAATCTTCACGCCCTACTGATGTTCCGGAGCAACGATCGTGGAATAACGCATTATTATTCTAGCTGCATGAGCGATGTGCCTTCGAAATCTGTAGCAGATTTACGACGTGCTGTAAATCAACTCGATTGGTTTGGGTCGGATCAGCCACTTGTAAAACAGAGTAGCTGTGACTACTGGAGGGCTGGAAACTTGGCTGGAAAGTCTTAGCAGGGCTGCTGGAATTGACTGGATGAGGTAAAACTTCACTATGTTCAAGATTAACAAGCCCACTAAAGCACAACTCTAGGCATCACAAACAAGACAGATTGAAAGCTCAAACTAGGCTGATAGACAATGTAACTTCCCTGGTAACTTGGGCACAATCTAGATTGGATGGACCTTGAGTGACTTTGAGTGCCACATGAGGTGCATGAATAAGAAAACTCTGGATATTTCTGTTATAGCTGATTCTGATGTGTAGAAACCTGTAGAAATCTGATTGGTGGTGGAACTTTCGAAGTACTTCCCGAAGCTCTGATTCATCGCCGACATTCCCCCTTGCTGCTGCTTGTGTGCAAAGGGCTGGGGCGGCTGAAACTCGATTCTCCAACACTCCCCCTCGCACCAGACCCGAAGCACACATACACCCATGCTGATGCTCCTTTCACATCTCCTTAGCATACACTTCATGCTGCTGCCCACGTCTCTTCCCCTCACACTCCTCATTCTCCTCAAACTGCTCCACTGCTTCATGAAGTGTCATGAGGCCTGCTCTTGCCTTGCACATGTTGAATGCATCATGTGGAAGAACCTTGGTCATGAAATCTGCTGCTTGATCGAATGAACGGCAAAAGTTGACGGCGAGAACTCCCTTCTCTAGTTGCTCACGAATGAAGTGGTACTGCACCTCGATGTGTTTTGTACGCCCATGATGAACCGGGTTCTTGGAAAGAGCTACGGCTGAAGTGTTGTCCACGTAGAGCGGAGTTGGTTGAGTTTGCGGCTGCCTCAATTCCTCCAAGAGTCCACGTAACCAGATTGCCTCCCTTGCTCCTTCGGTCATTGCCATGTACTCAGCTTCGGTTGTTGAAAGTGCCACACAACTTTGCTTGCGCGATTGCCAAGAAACAGCGGCACCACACATGAGGAAGATGTAGCCGCCGGTAGACTTGCGTGTGCTCAATTCTCCCGCCCAATCTGCATCGGTAAAGCCTTGGAGGGAGCTTGCATATGGGCTGGCTTGGAAGAGAAGACCATGATTAGAAGTACCTTTGAGATACCGAAGAGCTCGCTTGGCTGCATGCATATGAATAGGTGAAGGGGCACTCATGTGTTGAGCTAGCTTAGATACCGTGAATGCTAAGTCGGGCCTTGTGCATAGGGCTGCATACATGAGACACCCAACCTGACTTTGGTACAGAGCTAGGTCTTGTGGGGATACCTTAAGTGAATTCTCACCATGATGCTCACTCTCCTCAAGACACAACTCTTTAATACCTATGACATCAAGGCTTGACTCTCTCTCTTCATAGGGCTGATGTGAAGACAAAGGGACAAATTTGGAAGGAAGTGGGGTAGGTGATGGCTTGCTATCATCAAGACCAAACCTCTCAAGGACCTTTTGGATGTACCTTTGCTGGAATAGGAAGATGGACCGTGACTTACGATCTCTCACAATGTTCATACCAAGATAATGACTCGGCTCACCAAGATCGGTCATCGTGAATGCACTCGTGAGAATACCTTTCACCTTGTTGAGAAGAACAAGAGAACCTGAGACTAGGAGGAGGTCATCGACATATACCAAGAGCCAAATGTACTCCCCCTCACTCGTGTGCATGAAGTACAGAGCGTTGTCTCTCATGGACCTTGTGAAACCATGCTTAAAAAGTACCTGCTCAAGAGCATGATACCAAACCCGTGGGGACTGTTTGAGACCATAAAGGGACTTTACCAAGCGACACACTCGACCCGTACCGTCATCATAACCTTCGGGTTGTGCCATGTATACCTCTTCTTCCAAGACACCGTAGAGAAATGCGTTCTTGACATCCATTTGATGGATATGGAGACCAAGATATGCGGCTATGGCGAGGAGGACTCGTACCGTGGTGTACTTTGCTACCACGGCAAAGGTTTCGGTGAAGTCAAGACCTGGAATTTGGGAATAACCTTTTGCCACTAACCTTGCCTTGTACCTATCGAGGCTACCATCACCTTTTACCTTGATCTTGTACACCCATTTGACACCAATTACCTTCTTCCCTGGAGGTGGCTCAACAAGACGCCATGTACCTCGCTTCATGAGACTCTCAATCTCCTCTTCCTCGGCTTTCAACCAATGCTCTCTTTCGGGACTTGCCATTGCCTCACGACGACTCAAGGGCTCTCGCGGAAGGTGTGATGCTGCCATGCATATTGCCTCTACCTTCTTGTGAATGCAATTCTCACTCTCCTCACATGTGCACCTTGATGACATGTCAACCATGAAATTGAAGGGCTTTTTTACCTTGCGGACTCGTTTACCTTTACCAAACTCCTCAGTTGGCTGAGACACATTAGTGGTAGGGTTCGGTCTCACAGTGTTTGATTGCGTTGATGCGGTCATTTGCGGCTGAGACAACGGCTGCGACATCGGCTGCGACGGCGGCACGGCTGCTTGTTCTTCTCCTGGCGTGGAAATATCTTGATTATCGGTGTTGACTTGAGGATTAGGTATGGTGACTCGTGGCGGTGAAGCTGAAACGTTTGTCGGCATAGTTGGTTGTGAAGATGCTCTTGGTGGGGATCTTGAGACTAGAAGCTTGGGAATTGATGATGACGCTGCCTTGTCGAGAGGTGGTGATGGTTGGGGCTGGTTGGTGTTGTTGCTCGGTGTTGAAGATGGTGGTAACTGATGACGACCGAATCCGGGACGTGGGGGTGAAGTTGAGAAAGGTCTTGGGTGAAGAAGTGGACTGTTGGAGCTGGTGTTGGTGGTGACTCGCTGAAGTGATCCTCGTGCTATGAGCTGGCTTGACGTTGGAACAAGTGATGAACGTGTGGTATGAGAACGAGGTGTTGCGGTGACGGTTGACTTGTTGCTAGGAAGAGTCGTAGATGGTGTTGATGTAGGTACTTGGGGTCTTGTAGCTGTTGATTGCTGCTGCATGGGATGATGATGAGCTTCTGTAGTTGCCTCTGGAGTGATGGCTGGTGATGGGTTTGATGGCGTAGTGGTGGGCTGATCCGGTTGGCGTTGAAATTGTGAGGTTGGTGTTGATATAGCTGGCTGGTTTGTGACTGTTGGCTGCTGCTCCTTTGGTGGTGATGGAACGGTGACTTGCTGCGGTGGATTGTCTTCATTTGATGGCTGAACTTCATCTCCACTTGGTTGAGTAGCTGCTGGTGGCACTGGCGTGGCACGGTTGGACTCGTTGACGACGGCTTGAGGGAGATCGATGATTGGTCCGCTATGGTCAGAATCGGTGTCATCTTCTTCCTCCTCTTGTGTTGTTTCCTCAGGTGCGCTTGCTGGTTCCTGTTGGATAGAGGGTAGAGAGGAGGAAGAGGAAAACTTATGCCAACCTGCAAGGGACATGTCTTCATAGAAGACAACATCCCTTGAAACCACTTCTCGCTTGGTGACAGGATCCCAAAGGACCCATCCCTTGCTCTCATTGCTCATGCCGATGAAGAGGCCCCAATGAGCTTTGCTGTCCAGCTTGAGTCTCTTTGCATCTGGAACACGGTATTGGGCCATGGAACCAAAAACACGAAGCATAGACAGATCTGGTTTAACTCCAAACCAAGCCTCATATGGCGTTACACCTTCCGGTAAGGGCCTTGTGGGTCTCCTGTTGCGAACATAAATTGCCATAGTGATTGCCTCACCCCACCAGAGCTTGTCAAGGCCTTTGAACTGAAGGAAAGTGGTAGCTATAGCCTGGATAGTGCGATGAAACCTCTCTGCCACTCCATTTTGCTGAGGACTATAGGGACAAGTGAACTGTTGTTTGATGCCCAATGCCAACAACTCCCCCTGAAACGCTTTCCCCATGTACTCACCTCCTCGATCCGACCTCAAGGTGAGTAACTTCTTCCCTGACTCTCTCTCAACAAGTGCTAGCCATTGCTTGAAACACTTGTGAACTTCATCCTTGGTGTTGATGAAAAAGGACCACGAGAAACGACTCTTGTCATCAATGAAAGACACCAAATATCTCTTACCGTTTCGAGTAGGGTCTCGCATGGGGCCGAAGACATCAGTGTGGACCAACTCTAGGAGGTCCCTTGACTGAGACTTAGAAGGGAAGAATGGCTTTCTAGCTAGTTTACCTTCCACACAAGATGGACATGGAACGGAAGAAAGGGACTTGACTGCACTTTCATTCAAACTCAATCCTTCCACGCTCTTGTGATTTACCAACTCTTTCAATGCTTGCACTCCCACGTGCCCCAAGCGTGCATGCCATACCTCAGCTTGGGAGATACTCCCTTTGTTGTTGACTTGATCGGTTGAAACAGCGGGAAGCGAGACAACGTCGTTCTTCGTGTTGCTAGCACCGCGCTTAATCTCCAACTTCATCTTGTAGAGCCGCCCGGTACGCTCGCCTTCAGCCACCAGATTTCCTGCACTGTCCCACACTTTGGCTTTCCCCCCTTGCAAGAGAACGGAGGCACCTTTCTCTTCGAGTTGTCCGGCTGAGAGCAAGTTTGCTCCCAAATCAGGAACAAACAAAGCTTTATTGACACAAAATGACTTACCATCCTTTTCGAACTCAAGCTTGCCGACTCCTTTGATTGGTACTTTGCCAAGATCAGCAAGAGTCACAGCTTTTGAGTCATATGAGGGCTGAAAATCCTTGAGAATGGACTGATAGGGAGTCATGGTTTCAGAGCAGCCACTATCAAGAATAAACTCCTCACTACTAGTAGAGAAAACGTGCATGCAAGTAGCAGCGTTAAAAAGGACAGGACCATCGGACTCTTTGGACTCATCTTGACTTGTAGAATGACTTGTTATATTTGCTATGGCTGCCTTACCTTTTTCAGATAGTAGCTGAGGTGGGGGGACCCAATTAGGAGGCTTCTTAGGACAAGCATACCACGGGTGACCCCACTCATGACAACAAAAACACTCAAAATTAAACTTTTTAGCATTCGGGGCTTGGCTGAAATTATTGACTCTTGGCATATTGACTCTTGCATTCCTAGGCTGGTATTGATTGGGAATCGAAGGCCTTGGCTGGACATAGTGACTGGACTTATAGGGAGGACTTGACTGAGGAAAACGAGAGGGTTTGTATGGGTTGGAAGGTGACTGAAATTTCGTACCGTAGTAGGGTTGAGGGCGGTTTGGGCTGAAATTTCCTTGCCTCTGGAATTGGTTGCCATATCTTGTGGCTGCTGCAGCACTCCACGCACCTTCGTCACTCCGCTTGTTCCGTGCAAGGTCTCGACTCTGCTGGTCGTTGACAAGGGCCTCAAAGATGAACGCACGACTCTTCATTGACTGCGGGAGCGCTTGTAGTGTTGCACGGAAAGTGTCCCACTCCGGTGTAAGGCCGGTGAGGATGACGGTCTTGAAAAGAGACTCTGGAATCTCCAAGCCGATCGCTGCTGCTTCCTCCAGCATTGCTTCAGCTCGTTGTAGGTAGGCTTGTGCTGATTCATCTTCTTCCATCTTCAGATTCATGAAGCGGCTCCACATCTCGGCTTGGCTGCTCTCGGATTTTGACTGGTGCATAGTCTTCAGTCGGCTCCATGCTTCCTCTGCACTGTTTGCCTTGGTAGAACAGGGCAGGAGCGACTTCAACTGCTGCTCGTGAATGCTATTGAGTAGGTAGAGGAAGGCCTCCTTGTTGCGTCGTTCGTAAAGTCGTTTTTCAGCTTCTGAAGCATCTGCTGCTGGTTTGGCTGCTTCTCCAGTGTAGTAAGGCCACAGATCCAGAAGGGATGCAGTGAGCTCAAACTGAGTTGCCCATGTTGGAAAATCTTTGCCGTTTAACTTGGGGAGGTGAAGCTTAGGCATGAAGGAGGTGAGTGGTGAGTATGTTGTTGAAGGACTGCCTGGTGCAACTGCTTCCACTAATCCAGTAGCTGCTGATGTTGACTCTGAAGCTCCTCCGGCTGGCTGGAGTGCAGGACCAGATGGATTGTCTCCCGCCATGTTCGTATGGTGCTAGGATAGGAACGTGGTGGGCTAGGTTGATCGAAACGACAAGCTCTGATACCAACTTGTAAAACAGAGTAGCTGTGACTACTGGAGGGCTGGAAACTTGGCTGGAAAGTCTTAGCAGGGCTGCTGGAATTGACTGGATGAGGTAAAACTTCACTATGTTCAAGATTAACAAGCCCACTAAAGCACAACTCTAGGCATCACAAACAAGACAGATTGAAAGCTCAAACTAGGCTGATAGACAATGTAACTTCCCTGGTAACTTGGGCACAATCTAGATTGGATGGACCTTGAGTGACTTTGAGTGCCACATGAGGTGCATGAATAAGAAAACTCTGGATATTTCTGTTATAGCTGATTCTGATGTGTAGAAACCTGTAGAAACTGCCAACACTTCGGTTTGAAGGCAGCTTTGAACTATATCGAGTCTTCGGCTGAAATCTGATTGGTGGTGGAACTTTCGAAGTACTTCCCGAAGCTCTGATTCATCGCCGACATTCCCCCTTGCTGCTGCTTGTGTGCAAAGGGCTGGGGCGGCAGAAACTCGATTCTCCAACACAGCCTGGGCCGACCCCAACCAGCCCTTTAGGAATTGGCTGATTTGGGTCGCCTGAATCCATGATACAGAACAGTACGACCTTTCTGGAAGTGAGAAATCGGGATAGATCGGGTTGGATCGATGCAATCTTGCCCGAGCTGCAACACGTACTGTAGTTAGAAGGTGGAGGGCCCATTGTGTCATCCTTCACCGTACTCCAGCCAGTCTTAATATCTTGGAAACCTTCAGAACCGACGACAACGCTGACTTATGCCAACTGGTCCTAGGGTGAATGAATGAGTACTTTCTGAAAGGAAACCAACAAGGCAGGTTCGTTGGCTTGGAAGTCGGGGCAAGGATTGGTGCGATCGAAATTTCGGAGAGCACACCGAAAGCTCCTCCCTTCCCCCTTCTCCAAATGAGTCTTGTTCAATGGTTTCTTTTCTGGTAACATGGAAACCATCCAGGTGATATCTCTTGTAGCGAACGACCAGCTCGATGTGACACGTCCTTTGCTGGGAACAGCCTCGACGTCCCTCCTTTTTATGTAACTTATTTATCAACGTAAAGCTTCTACGTTTTTCAGTGTGGATACAGCGGAAGTCTGTGGACCAGGGCGTTAGGGTTACTTCCGCAATGGTAAGACATTTCGAGACTCTAACGCAGCAGGTTCAGAGCCTCTCGACTGCCTTTCTCGGTCCCCCGTTACTGCCGTCCCGCTTTCCGTAATCTCGGTTTGTCCGCGTCTTCACGCGCACCCTCCATTTCCCGCTTACGATTTCCCCCTTTTCGAACCGACTCGAAAAAAAATTTAAAAAAAATGAGCCGACTTTAAACCCGCTTTCCCGCTACCTGCCGTCACACTCTTCGTAACCATAGCTGTTGCTGTCGCGCTCTCGTCTCCCGCTCCCATTCCTCCTTGTAGCTTCACCCCTCTTCTCCCGCTCCCAGTCCCCTCTCCTGCCCTACCCCTTGTCTCTCGCTCCCATCCCCCTTTGAAGGTTCACCCTTCGTCTCCCATTCCCAAATCCCTCATTGTAGTCTCACCCATCATTTCCGGCCTTATGGCCTTCCCTTCCCCCTACTCTCCTCCACCTCTCCCCCGCCTTTCGCCCGCTTTCCTCATTCCCCCCCGCCTCTCTCCCCCGCAGCCCTCATCCTTCAACAACGCCCAACCGGGGCAAGACAGGAGGGCGCTCACCTTTTCCCCACCTTTCCCCCAATCGCCCTTCCCCCACCTCCTCCCCCCAGTCCTCATCCTTCAACAGGTCGCCAGGCCAATCTGTGCACAACCGGGGGAAGACAGCAGCAGGGGACCTACCCTTTCCCCACCTTTCCCCCCCATTTCCCCCTTTTCCCCCCCACCTCTCCCCCCCACCCCAGTCCTCGTCCTTCAACAGGTCGCCAGGCCAGTCCGTGCACAAGCGGGGGAAGACAGCAGGGTCAGGCGGAGCAAGCCGAGGGGTTGCTGCTGCTGCTGCTGCTGCTCCTGAAGCATGGTTGCCCGAGAGTGCAGTTTCCAGTGGTGCCTCGACCGCCTCTCCTTCAAATGCTGGAGTTCCCAAGGGTGCTGCTACTGCTGATGGCAACGGGCGCTCTGGTATTGGGAGTTCTGCAGGGGTGGGGCTAGAGGGAAGACGAGAGGTGACAGACCGAGGGGGGTTGAGAGGCGAAGACTCGGTGCCACTGCTTCCCAAGCGCCTTCACTTTGACCAGCTGTCAGCCCCAACCCCGGGCTTGGCCTCACTCCTCCCGGCCCCAGCAGTTCCAGTTCCAGGCAGTGCCTCGAGCCCAGTCGTTTTGCACCATCTTCAGAGCCCAGAGCTGCAACAGCAACCGCCGTACCGCCACCAGCACCAGCACCAGCACCAGCTCCAGCACCAGCACCAGCACCAGCAGCACCCATCACAGCAGAACCAGCAGCCAGGGAAGCAGCAGCAGCAGCAGCAGCAGCAGACAGGGCAGCAGCAGCGTTCAGAGTATCGGGACGTGGAGAGCACAGATGGGGCGAGCTATGATGTGTTGTGCTGGGCGTGCGGGCTCTGCCTCTCCCTCCCCTCCTTCTCCCCCAACTTCAAATGCGGCTACTGTGGCGCCCTCACACTCCATCTCCACTCCTCACCCTCCCCCTCCGCTTCCTCCGCTGCTGCTCCTTCCTCCTCCTCCTCCTAACTAAGTCTGCTAGCTAAGTCTGCTACAGAGTCGGATAAGCCGTTGAGGAGGAGGAGGTGCAGAGCGTGTATCGCGGCATGGGATATGCTGGTGCTGACGGTGGTCATTCTTCTCATCACGTTTATTATTGGTGAGCACAAAGAGGTGTGGGTGGGTGTTGTTGACTGTTTTTATTCTTATTTTTTTTTATTGTTTGTTTCACATCTCCACCACTGTTTCCATCGCCTCTCCTATCCACCGTTTATCAAATGCATTCTCCCTCTCCCCGTCAGCTCCTCCCTTCCCCTCGTCTCCAATCCCCTCATCTCCTCTCTCTCCGCCCTGCCTTTGCACTTGCCGGCATTCTCACCCCCTGCCTCCCCATCGTCACTCTCCTCCACCCGCTGACAACTGTAACATCTCCCCACCCCCCGTCATCCCTTTCGATCTGCTCCTTTCCCCTCTTCCTCTCTCCTTCCATCCCTGCCCTTCCCTCTCCACTACCCTGCCCTTCTCCTCCCCTCCCTCCCGTCTCCATCTGGTGGCATCCTCACCACATTCCCCTCTGTTTTTGGTTCGCTTCAAGAACAGACAGATTCCTCATCACCTATCCCATCCACCTTCTATCTTTTGCCTCTTCTCACTCTTCTTGTCTTCTCTCCCCTCCCTCCCTTCTCCAGTTGGCGGCATCCTCACCACCTTCCCCATCATCTGTCCCCTCCACCCTCCCGTCTCCCACCGCTACCCCCCTCCTCCTCATCTCCTCCCCGTGCCGCTCCCCTTCCTCCTGCACGCCCTCATCACGCTCCTCCTCTCCCTTCAAACCATCTTCAACTTCCTCTGCTCCGCTTTCTTCCCTGCCGGCCCAGTCACTCGTGTTGCTTTCGGCTCGGCAGACATGCCAACTGTATCAGCAGGTAAGTCTGAACAAGGGTACCACCACTAAGGTACTGCTCTCCGGTTATGAGCTTCCCAAGTCCTTACTGCCTGTATCATAACAGAAACTGAAGCGTGATGCCTTCTTTTGAGCCCCCAGATGTGAATTGATTTCTCTCAAGTGAGGTTCCCATGATCCCGTCACGTGTCACAATATAGCACATCTCAAATAATACATCACATCACATCTACAACAATGCACATCCCACGTAACAAATCCCACATCACATGCCCTTTTTTCCCATGCATTTTCTTTCCCACTCCAACCGTGCCTCTCTTTCACATGCTCTACCTTTTCCCATGTCTTCCCACACCCATGCATGGCTGTGTGGGTCGGTTCCTTTGCCTGGCAGGTTCGTTTGACGGCTGGCAGTTGTGCCGCCGCTGCGACCCGCCCCGAGCCAAGCCCCCTGGTGCGCACCACTGCAGCAGCTGCGGCACGTGCGTGATGGACATGGATCATCACTGCCCCTTTGTGAGTACTTGCCTTACATGGTAGTTTGTGACTCAAACATCACTGCCAGCATCACCACCAGCTTCCGCATCGGCATCATCATCCGCATCAGCAACACCAGCACCATCACCACCACTGCAGCAGCTGTGCCACATGCGTTCTGAGCATGGACCGTCACTGCTCGTTTGTGAGTTCCTGCGTGTGTTTATCCTTCGCATCTCTCCCTCTCGTCTTCCCCGCCCCACTCTCCCCTTTCCACCACTCCAGATCGGCAACTGTGTGGGGCGGGCCAATCAGAGGCACTTCCTGCTCTTCCTCCTCTCCACCATCATCAGCTGCATCTATGTTGCCCTCATGGCCTCAGCCACCCTCTATTTCCTCCTCCCCGCACTCGACGTCACACCTCACATGCCCCATAACCCCCCTCACGACCTCACCTCTTTCGTCTCCACCGCCACAAAAGCTTTTGCCGCCGCCCTTTGGGCTGCCCGAAAACAACTCGCGATCCGGGCGTTCATCGCGTTTTACCTCTTTATAGTCGCACTCGGCACAGGGATTTCTGTCTCGCTGTTACTGTACCAGCAGCTGGACTTCATTCTATCTGGAGAAGGGGGTTATGTAGATGCATTAAAGGTGAAGAAAGGAGCCGGAAATAACAAGGTGATGTGGGATGGGCCGAAAAGGGTAGTGCCGGCAAGATTGGTGGATCCAAGCGGGGGAGATGGGACTTGTTGGCCTTGTGGGAATGGGGTTTGGTTGAGATTGTTCAATCGTTCCGGTTCGGAGGTGTCTAGAGCTCTGAAGGGGGTGTTTGGATCTGGCAATCCATGGTTCTGGTGCTGTCCTCGTTTGAAGGCCCCTAGAGGGTCGTTAGCAGCAAATTACAATGGGGTTAAGGATCTTTGATGTGGCTACTTTGTTTTCCATTGATTAATTTGATACGGACAGCAAATGTATAGAATTCTCACTTCACAATCACAAGCGCACATGGTTAGGGCAATGCATACCATGATACCAGATATAGAGATGGGAAGGTGAAAAGGGTACACCACCAGCAATAGTTAACTAATAACTATCACATACACAAGCAGATTGTAGACAGTTATGATATGGAAATATAATTCAACAATTCTGATGAGAATGTCAACAAATGAGAAAGGGAATTAATGTATGACAGCAAGATGGAGTCCAATAAGGAAACCCTATCATCTTGGTCATCTTCAGGTTGGGGGAGAACTTCTGAAAGAAGTCAAACCTTCTCTCTCACCGAAGCCTCTCGCCACATAACATGCCTTGAAAACGGGCGAGGATCCAAGTGGCCGCTTCACCTTGATAATCAACATGACATCGACTACGTTCGCCCCAGGAGGAGGAACTGTGTCGACATACCCGTATTCTCCCGGACATAACACCCTAGGGTGTTATGATAAATACAGGAAAAAAGTAGGGGGGGTCTTCTCATCGGAAAAAGCTACATAATACCCGGGTCTATTCATATGACACTTTTTAATATATGGATTTTGATAAATGGAGGTGTCAGAATAACTGTGCAGGAATGATTGGATTAGCAAGAGTTGGGGTACAAGTACTTGTGAAACATATGTATGTATATGTTATAGTTTGGGTAGGCTTAGTGGGGTACTTACTGTGGGGTACAACCCCTTGGGTTTTCACTTTGTACCAACCCTCTCGATAGTCGAAACCACTTTTCCCGTAAGATTCTAACATGGTATAGAGCATAGGTCCTTAGGACCTAGGATTAGGGCCCACCACGATTGCCTGTCTTGTCTAGTGCCTACGCGCGCCTCGGCTGCCCGCGCGCGCCTCGGGCGGTTTTTTTTCCCACGTGCGCCGTCTCAGCAGCCCGCGTAGCCCGTTTCGGCCCCACCTGTGCGCCCCTTAAGCCGCCCGCGCGAAACCTGATTAGGCCACGCCAGTGCGGCCCGTCGCCCAGCGTCGCCCGTAGCTTAGCGACCAGCCCGCGGCCGCGCACGTGCGGCCCGTCGCCCAGCGCAGCCCGCAGCCGCACGTAGATTGCAGCCGCGCATGCTGCCTGTAGCCACGCACAGCCCGCCGCTGCAAGCAGCCCGCAGCCCGCGCAGTCCGTCGCCGCACACAGCCTGCGGCCGCGCGCGCTGCCCGTAGCCACGCGCAGCCTGCAGCCTCGTGCAGCAAGCCGCCACACGCAGCCAGCAGCCTCACGCAGCCCTCAGGCCCCTCCTGCCTGCTGCCTGCTGCCGCCTGCCTGCTGCTTGCTGCCTGATGCCGCCTGCCTGCTTGCTGCCTGCAGCCTGCCTGCCTGCCTGCTTGCTGCCTGCTGCCGCCTGCCTGCAGCCTGCCTGCTGCCTGCCTGCTGCTTACTGCCTACAGCCTGCCTGCCTGCCTGCTTGCTGCCTGCTGCCGCCTGCCTGTAGCCTGCCTGCTGCCTGCCTGCTGCCGCCTGCCTGCCTGCTGCCTGCAGCCTGCCTGCCTGCCTGCTTGCTGCCTGCTGCCGCCTGCCTGCAGCCTGCCTGCTGCCTGCCTGCTGCCTGCCTGCTACTTGCTGCCTGCTGCCGCCTGCCTACTTGCTGCCTGCATCCTGCCTACCTGCCTGCTGCCTGCCTGCTTCCGCCTGCCTGCTTGTTGCCTGCAGCCTGCCTGCTTGCTGCCTGTTGCCGCCTGCCTGCAGCCTGCCTGCTGCCTGCCTGCTACTTGCTGCCTGCTGCCGCCTGCCTGCTTGCTGCCTGCTGCCGCCTGCCTGCCGCCTGCCTGCCTGCCTGCTTGCTGCCTGCTGCCGCCTGCCTGCAGCTTGCCTGCTGCCTGCCTGCTGCTTGCTGCCTCTGCCTCCTGCCTCCTACTTGGTGCCTACTGCCTCTGCCTGCTGCCTGCTGCCTCCTGCCTTAAGCCAATATGGCGACGCCTAACGTTCTAGCGTTCGAGCCTGATGGTCGTCCCATCGAGTTCACTGTATGGTTAGACGATCTCCAGCTGTTCCTTCTGACTGATGCCAAAGATGGCGTTTCCCTGTTTGATTACGTCTCTGGCACTGCCGTTGCTCCTGCTGCTGATGCTCCTGCTCTAGAACGCTCCCAGTGGCAGACTCGTGATGCTGCTGCACGCCTAGCTATTAGGAACCACCTGCCGATTACTGAGCGAGCGCATTTCAGCCAGCACAGAACTGCTAAGACACTGTACGACGCTGTAGTTGCGCGCTACTCCTCCCCGATCACTGCAGCCATAGGTCGACTCATGCTACCGTACCTGTTCCCCGATCTTTCCTCGTTCACCACTGCTGAGGACCTAGTTTCTCACCTGCGCGCTACTGAATCTCGCTTTCGTGCCGCCCTTTCAGCCGAGTTCTGCGCCGCAAACCCCCCCCCCGATGTACTTCACTCTCTATTTCCTCGTCACCCGCCTCCCTGACACTCTTAGCTCTGTCAGGGACCACTTCCTAGCCCTAGACCCCACCACTCTCACTGTAGACGATTTCGAGAAGCACCTCCTCGCAGCAGAGAAGAACATCCTCGCTGTAGGTGCTGCTCGTGGCACTCCTCGCTCTCCCCTCTTTGAGGGGTGCTCCCCCTCCCCTCTCACCCCCTCCTACGCCTCCGCAGCTGCTGCTCACGACTACCTTGGTGCTGAGGGGGTCGGAGCTGCTTCCGCTCCCAGTGGGAAGCGTCGCAGTGGCAGGGGCGGCAGGGGTGGCAGGGGCGGTGGGGGTGGCGGTGGAGGTGGCGGTGGTGCAGGCGGCGGGGGAGGTGGAGGTGGTGGGGGTGGTCGTGGGGGTGGAGGCGGTGTAGGTGGTGGTGGGGGCGGCGGAGGCACTGGGAGCGGTGGAGGCGGCAGCAGCGGCGGTGGGGGAGGAGGGAGCGGTAGTGGCATTGGTGGTCAGGGCCAGCAGCAGCAGCAGCAGAAGCAGCAGCAGCATCAGCGTAAGCGCCAGACCCCCACTTCCCAACAACTTCTTGACTGGTATGCCGGGCGTGGGGCTTCTGGGGGTCCTGCTCGCTGCCCCTATATCATCCGCACAGGTCCCCGCGCTGGTCGCCAGTGCACAGGTTTTCACACTGAGCAGCGCTGCTTCGCTCGGCTTAGCGTCGCCTGGCGCGCCAAGTTTCCTGATGCTACTGAGTTCCCCAACTGGGCAGACTTACTTAGGCGTGATGTACCTATCTTTGATCTTGACTATGAGGCAATTCTTGCTGCTATGTATGCCTTGTCTGTTAGTGCTGAGGGTGACTGCTACTTGTGTGTGCCGCCGAATCCTGGTATAACCCCTGGTATAGCCCCTGCAGCACTAGGTGCTTGTGAGTCTGCTCCCCTTGGTACTGCGCCTGCAGAGGCCTTGCACACCTTTACACTTGACTCTGGTGCTTCCCGCTGTTTCTTTCGCGACAGTAGCACAGTCACTCCCCTCCCTGCACCTGTTCTTGTCTCACTGGCTGACCCCTCTGGGGGCCCAGTGCTTGCACGGTCTTCCACTGTGCTTCCGTGTCCGGCGGTCCCGTCTGGTGAGCTGTCTGGTCTCCACCTCCCCTCATTCTCTACGAACTTGGTGAGTAACGCTGTCCTCCAGGATGCGGGGGTTGACACCTTCACCCCTGGCCGGCAGCGTGTGGCGATTTGCACGTGCTCCCAGACTGGTCGCCACCTGGCCACGTTCGCTCGTGCGCCGGGGTCCAGTCTGTACACCCTCACCACTGCGTCACGCTCCGCCCCTTTGTCTCCCCAGTTGCACGCGTCTGCTCAGGTAGCTACACAGTGTGAGTGTCGCCGGCTGTCGCACGACACTCTCCTGTGGCACCACCGCCTTGGTCACCCCTCCCTGCCTCGCCTACGCAACATGCACTCCCTCTTCCTGGTTTCTGGGCTTCCCAGGTCTCTGCCTCCCCTCCCTCCCTCGCCTGCGCCGCCCTGCATTCCCTGCGTCGAGGGGCGGCAGCGCGCCGCTCCTCACTCCTCCTCGTTCCCTCCCACAGAGGCTCCACTGCAGACTCTCCACCTGGATGTGTGGGGCCCAGCCCGCGTCCGTGGACAGGGCCACGAGCGGTACTTCCTGCTGGTTGTCGACGACTACACGCGCTACACCACGGTCTTCCCCTTGCAGCGCAAGGGGGATGTCCCTGATGTTTTGATCCCCTGGATCCGCGCTACTCGTCTCCAGCTCCGCGAGCGGTTCCAGTCGGACTTTCCTGTCCTGCGTCTGCACTCGGACAGAGGTGGTGAGTTCTCCTCAGACCTCTTGGCAGCTTTCTGTGCGGAGCACGGCATCCACCAGACTTTCACGTTTCCGGCCTCTCCGCAGCATAGTGGGGTTGCTGAGCGCCGCATTGGCTTAGTCATGGAGGTCGCTCGTACCTCCATGATCCATGCGGCTGCCCCCCATTTTTTGTGGCCTTTTGCGGTCCGGTACGCCGCGCATCAGCTCAACCTTTGGCCCCGTGTCTCCTTGCCGGAGACCTCGCCCACACTGCTGTGGACGGGGAAGGTTGGCGACGCGTCGCGTTTCCGGGTCTGGGGTGCTCGTGCCTTTGTCCGCGATACCACCGCGGACAAGCTCTCCCCTCGCGCCATTCCTTGGCTTTGTCCCTGACGCGCCTGGCTAGCAGTTTTACGACCCCGCCTCGCGCCGTGTCTTTGCGTCTCAGGACGTCACCTTTGACGAGTCGGTCCCCTTTTACCGCCTCTTCCCCTACCGCACTGCTCCTCGCCCCCCCCCGCCGCTCTTTCTCGCCCCAGGTCCTCCCCAGGTAGACCCCCTCCCCGCGCCAGGTCCTGCTCCTTCAGGTGTCTCTCAGGTAGACCCCCCTGCGCCTGCGCCTGTTGAGGTCACTGGTGACTCCGGTCCTGCTGCGAGTGGTGCTGTCCCTGGGGGTGCGGAGCT